AGCTTGCTGCAAGCGTAGTAGTCGAGGAACATCAGAGGCTCGGCGCCTTGTACGACAAGATCGTTGACGTTCATGGCGACGAGATCGATACCGACAGTGTCGTGCTTGCCCATCTCGAAGGCAATCTTGACCTTTGTGCCGATACCGTCGATCGCGCCCACCAGTATGGGTGCCTCAGTGTAGCCAGCTGCTTGCAGGTCGAGCAGCCCACCAAATCCACCGATCTTGCCATCGGCTCCAGGGCGTTTTGTGCTAGCAGTCAACGCCTTGATCTGCTTAACGAGCTGGTTGCCCGCGTCGATGCTCACACCCGATGATGCGTATGTCAGCGCCTCGCCAGCTGGCTGTGAGGTGCTTGAAGGGCGTGTCACAGTGGTGCCTTCCTCGGCCGGCTCAAGGAGCTTCCAGTCGCATGTTATGCCTTCCTTCTTGAACTCCTGTAGCAGATGTTCTGCGATCTTGTCGAAGTTCTCGGTAGCGAGTGCGAGAATGGTCGGCCCGGCGCCTGAGAGACAGATGCCCAGCAGGCCGGGGTGTGATTGTGGGGTAACGGATTGGAGGATTTCGGTAAGACCGGGGATGAGGCCGCGACGGTAGGGTTGGTGGAGCTTGTCTTGCATAGCTGTGTAGATCATGTCGGGGTCTGGTGTGGCTTGACCGAGTGCGGTGGTCAGGACAGCCAGTCGCTGCATGTTGAAGATGGCATCTTTGCGCGAATACGACTCAGGCAGTACCGCACGCGCCTTGGCCGTTGAGACCTCGAATTGTGGGATGACGCATATGCACTTGATAGCGGGCGACCAAGCAAACTTGGTGTAGTGTCCAATGTTGAGGGGAGGCTCGGGTGGCCGCAGACCCGTGTCTACACCACCTGCAGGCTGCGGGAGGACTTCGCTGAGGGGAATTTCGAGGCGCTCGGTGTCTTCGGGCGACAGTTCGTTGAGGTATGTGCCGACAAAGCCTCCATATAGCGCTGCTGCGACGTTGTCGGGGTGACGCTCTTCCATCAGGCAGTAGTCGAGCATGCGCGCTCTCGATAGCCCAAGGTTTCCGACCTCATTCGCCAGGTATACACCTCCTACGATAGCCGCAGCCGAAGAGCCCAGTCCGCGCCCCAGTGGTATCGGGTTCTTGACGTGAACGTGTGTTTCCGAAGGGAAGTCGCGAACGCCATGGCAGCGGAGCACGTATACGGCTGTTCGCGTGATGAGGTTGTCTTGCGCAATGAGCGGGACATCTTCGGCGCCTACGCCTTCATATGTTATCTTGCAGTTGTGCGAGTGTTCTGATTTCTCCTTCTTGGTGACTGTGACCTCGAGTTCGAGATAGAGGTTGAGCGCAAGGCCAATGACGTCAAAGCCGGGGCCGATGTTAGCGGACGAGCAGGGGATCTTGATGTGAGTAGTCATATTGGACTACAGAGCGCCTGGGGCTTGACGTGATGTTTTGTTATGTCGTCGCGCAAAAAATATTGGACCAGCGCATGGGAGGGATGAAAAAGATCGCGTGGGGCTCAAACGCCGACGCCGGTCGCGGGGTACATAGCGCACCGCCACACTTCATCTCTTGCCAGCCTCGCGACGCGTCCAGCGACACGACAAGCCAGACCATCAGTACTACCATTCCATCCCATTTCATCTCTACATTCGGCTTCCCATTTCCGTCACGACAGTGCGATCGCATGCATCAGCTTGTCGGTCCAAGCCGCGGTCTCACACAACTGCGAAGATGTCCAGACACCATGATCCAGAGGGGGAGTCGCATCATCGCGTTCGCTATCAGCAGTAGTGGACATGATGCGTTGAAGCGTGGCTCGAATATGGTGAAGGCAGAGAGAACTTGGGTGAGGCTGTGCAACACGTTTCCTCGCTTTGGCGGCATCCAAGAGCTGCAGTGACGCCACCGCTGACGCCTTGTGTGACCCGACAGCATTGCCAGCGCATAGCCCTTTCAGTACTGAGGTAAGTAAAGATGTACGTGAAAGCCGCTCACACTCGTCGAGATCTTCAACTTCGCAGCCCTTCTACAAGGGCTTTCGCTACCAGACCTGCAGCAGGCAGACGTTCCACGATATCGCCGCACGACCAGGCAACAGGCAAGGCTGACCGGTTCTCTTGGCTGCCTACATATAGCCTTGTAAAGTGCTTTTTGCTTGAATCTCAGTCCACCTCCCTTCTTCCTTTACGGTTATCTCTTACTTGAATAATCGGAGTGAATCGGGACTCCCTTTATCGTTCAACTGCTTCGATAATACGGTGAAACGAATCCTCAGCTCCGCTCGACTAGCACGGCTCCCAGCTTCTCTTACTGCACTACGCTCTCACTTCTTCTTCAACCCACTCAAAGCCTTTACTTCCCCCACCCACTCAGCATACTATTACAGTACTTCCAGCAAGCCGATCTCGAAGGACATCCGTCGCCTCACTTCAGTCCGTCCCAACAGCACTCGTCATGTGCGACTCGCCCACTGAAGAAGACGCGCGCGCTGAGCAGTTGGCCTACTTGCGCCAGCTCATGGCTCTGGAGCAACGCAGCAGAGCTAAGCGTGAGGCTCGCTCTCCATCGGTCTCCTCTTCATCATCCGAAGAAGATAAGCCAGCCTCAAAGACCAAGTCAAAGGCCAAGACCAATGGTGTCAAGCACGTTCTTGTCAACGGTAAAGGTCGAAAGCAGGCTGAGAATGGCGCCGCCGATGATGACATTCCGGAAGACAAGCCCGAGGACGAGGAGCTTTACAAACCAGGAATGAAGAACGGTCTAAAGCACTTGTACTCCGGAAAGGAAGACAAAAAGGGCCGCTTTCAGTGGCAAGAAGAGATCCCCGAAGACCTTGGAGAAGCCGTCGAGAACGACGAGACCGCGAAGTGGGCGTTGCTCGTGCGGAACGTCAAGGTCTACAACGATCCCCGGCGAGTATTGTCTATTCACTCGATTGTCGTTCAGAGCCCGCTGCTGAAGAAGCTGCTCGCTGGCGTACTGAAGAACTACCCGGGTGTCACCGTCGGCCTCAACCGTCTCGAGTTCCAGGGCAAGTTTGAGCCACTGATTCATCGATGGACTGAGTTGCAGGACGCTATTGCCAAGCTTGGCGACGAGACAGAGGATAAGCGCACGACGAAAGCCCACGCTGAGTTGCTCCAAGACATTCTCACCAAGGAATTCAAGAGCATGATTGATACCTCCCAGGACATGAAGAACAAGAAGGTTATGACATACGAACACCTTTGGACGCTGTATCAACCTGGGGCGACTGTTTTCGCTCGACAGGATGGTCAAGAGACGGCCATGATTCTGGTCGAGACGCGTTATGGACAGGATTGCAAGGGTGCACCCTGCTTTTGGCTGACTTGCAAGTACGTCGATTGGGATGGCGCCAAATTCGGTTCCAACAAGATCAACCTCTCCATCGCCGCCTATACCGGTACACGCGCTATCACCAATCTGCGTGTCTACCCCATCGAGTTCCATCCCGAGGGCGAAGCTATCCGTACGCGCCTCATCGAACGGGGTGCCAAAGCGGAAACTCTCGCTGGTCCAAACTATAGGGCATACCAGGGTGTCGCATGGAGGCAGGGTGGGTTCGGAAACAAAGACAAGTACAACGTGAAGGGTCGGATAATCATCGATACTTACGGCTGGAACCGTTTCGACCCCACTCATTCGGTCTTTGTAACGCCACTGAACCAGAAAGATCCTAGCCCGCCACCAATCCCGCCTATTCCGGGGCAGTACGACGAGGAAGAGATTGACGAGTGCCAGGATGAGTACGAAGACGAAGACGACAGTGGCATGCCATTGGATGGCGCATTTGCCGACGAGGATGATGCAGCCAAACACGTGCCCTTGACAACTGAACAGAAGCTCATCTGCACACCTCTACTTCGTGGTTACAGCTTGAAGAACAAGCTTTGGCTGAACTTCTTCGTAAACTGCGTTAAAGACATTGAGTGGCAAGACGACGCTTTCGATAGGTTGGTGCTCCCAAAGAACCAGAAAGAGCTTATCTTAGGCTTCACGGAGTCTCAACGGAAGTTCCGCGATACGTTTGACGACGTGATCGAAGGTAAAGGCAAAGGCATGATTATCCTACTCTGCGGCCCACCCGGCGTGGGTAAGACTCTCACTAGCGAGTCAGTTGCCGAAGAAATGAAGGTGCCTCTCTACATGATGAGCGCCGGCGATCTTGGCTTCGATCCTAGGAAGGTAGAGACCAAATTGCAAGACATTCTCGAAATGTGCAGCCGCTGGAACGCGGTCCTCCTCCTCGACGAAGCCGACGTCTTCTTGGAGCAGCGCTCCCTCCACGAGCTCGAGCGCAACAAACTCGTTTCTATCTTTCTTCGCGTCCTAGAGTACTACGAAGGCACCATGTTCCTCACAACCAACCGCGTCCAGACCTTTGATCCGGCCTTCCAATCTCGCATCCACATCTCGCTCGACTACCCCGGTCTCACCATAGACTCGCGTAAGACGGTCTGGAAGAACTTCCTCGATTCGTCGTCGCAGGAACACACCATTTCCAAGGTTGAGCTTACGGAGCTGGCGCGTATGGATCTGAATGGACGGCAGATTAAGAATATCCTCAAGATTGCTAGGTTGTTGGCTAGTCGCAAGGAAGAGAAGCTTAGTCGGGAGCATATCACTACTACCATGGATGTTACCCAGCATCTCCACAACGAGACACAGTTTAGTGAGCGCACCAAGGGCACTTTGTATGGTTAGTGCGGGGGCACGAAGGGAATAGGCGATCGGACTGGCTTTCATTCATTCATGGGACACCGAGGATTTAGAAACCAAGCGTGGCAAGAGAAAGGCATGATCAGACATCTCTCGGTATCTAGAGGGGCCATGGCGTCCCCTTAGTTAAGAGCTATGGAGCTTTACATACGTAGAACATCTTACTAAATGGAAAATTGAAGAGCACGATCGATGATGAAGTGATGATTGTATTATAGAATGTCGACAGGCTAACACGCACTACCATTACCACGCTCCAGTCGTCATAATGGGATATTCTCACTTCTGAGGCCCCAAAAACTACCCACCCAGTCGTAAGCCTTCTTTAAGAACGGCTCATCCTTTTCATCGAGGTCGTAGTCGAAACCATGACCCACCTCGTCGTCGGTTACATAGTGTATCCCTTTTGCCTGATCGAAGTTTGGCTTCTTGTTCAAATACCTCACGACGTCCAAGGAAAGCGTTTTGGTGTCCTTGAATCGGTCGCCATAGAGTTCAGGTTTCCGGAGCGTCGCAACGAACTTCTCAGTGTTCGTAAGGGGACAGTTAGGGTCTTTCTGGCCGTGATAAATGTAGATGGGTGGCAGGAGCTCATGATCCACTCTGTTTGCGCATATTTCGGCTCTCTCGATTCCATCCATTAGACTTTCGCGGATGATGCCGTCCTCATCGAGGAGTCGCTCTTTGTCTAGCGTAGAGTCTCCGTGCTGGCGCTGGAAACAAGACTGCCATTTTCCTGGCACGGATAGGAAGACCGCAAAGGCCATACCGCGAGGTGGTGGCCTGCCTGTACAGGTTGGTACAATACCCATTCTCTCGAGTTTGAGGATTTCTTCCTCTACTGCTTCTGCTTTGGCCTTTATATCGTCTTGGGAATACTTTGGACCCATGTAGGGGACTTTTTCTCCTGCCTTAACTGTGCGTTTGTAATGCGCAATCATGGGGAACCGCAAAAGGGCCGCTTGAATGGGTATTTTCAGTCCTCCGTCTTTCGCCGCGTTGAGCCACATCGCAGTCACGGCTGCATGTGCGCCTGCACTTTCACCTTCAACATACACTTGATCCTTATCGATGGCGAGCTTCCCACCCTTGTTTGCGACCTCGCGGCATAGCCATTCTTGCCAAGACTTGGTTTTATCATCAGTATCGTCCCAGACCTTCTTAAAGTACCCGCCCTCTTTGTACCACCTGAGGAAATCGTAAATCGCTTGGTAAATGTCGACGTAATTGCCTTCTGGTCCAAGAGGGTCGTTTGGTGCTATGATGATGGCGTTCTTCTGCTTGGCTCTTTGAACGGCAGTTTGCGAGTACCATGGTATAAAGTCGGCAGCACCAGTACACTGTACACATTTTAGCATGTTTGACTATATGTCAAACACCCAGAATGATTGCTTACAAACCCGCCACCATGAAACATCCACATGACGGGCGACTTTTGATCAATTGGTAACTGCTGCGGTACGTAGATTGCCACCGTGAGAGACTGTTTGTCCCACCCGTCCGAGAACGAGTATTGGGTCTCGAAAGAGTGAAACCCTTGCTCACTAAACCACTCTTTGCTCCGATCGAATGTGTTGTTGGGTGGATCAGCTTTGTAGAATAAGTTTTCATCGGCCTCCTTTTTAGTAGGCCATTCGAAAAGCCGGGTCAGCCTGCCACTGACAAGATCGTGGTGCTTCTTTGCCGCATCTTGCGCGTCTTTAATTATTCCCAAAGGATACTCCCATTTGGGCAGCTCTCCGCATTCTGCTCTTGTAAGTTGTTTATTCCGGTCGTCGATCCCCTTTCTCAAGTCATCAAAGTCCCTACTTTCCTCGTCGCTCAGCTCATATGGAATAAAGTCCATCGACTTCGAGGAAGACATCGGGGGCTGTAGTGTATGTTCAGATTCGCGTGTCGAGAGTTGTCGATGTGGTTTAGTTGAGTTTGCCTGAGCTTCGAAAGGTAGTATACTGGTGTGAAAGTACGACCGTGTCGATGTGCTCTTTATATACTCCTGATTGACTCACAGTTCCTCCCAGTCACCCCCGAAGACTTACCGTCGACGCATATAGCCACCAGTCAGCCCGCGTTCGACTCTCGAAGAGTCAAGCCCACGTTGATATGCCATGTCCACCAGCTGCTCTTCGTGCGTGGTACCATGTGATCGAGCACGGCGGGAAGCCGTGCGTCGTGACTCTATCGCTCGGGTACCGTCATAAAAGTACTTCTCGTAACACGTTGTCGGGTGTGAAGTGTCACACTGGATCCAGGGTTTCCGTTTTTCTCGGCATATAGGTCCCTTGTTGCAACCGCGACCATGCGGTGGGGGACTGTATAACCTCGAGCCTCCGGTATCGCTCGCGGGTGTTTGTTCCTTTGTTGCCCGTCAGAGAGAACAAGACTTTGTTCATCATTCTTGTTGTAGCTGAGGTCCGAGCTTGGACCAACTATTGTAGCTTAAGTTGATGCAGATGGTGGCTGACGAGAAGGAGTATGTCCGCTATTTCGCATCACCTCTTACATCTTTGAAGCAGGACGACAAGGCTGGTGGTGTGTTTGTGAACGATCAATCACCGATTGGTCCTTCCATTCCAAGGTGTCATCCGAACGTCATTGCCTTTCTTCCACCCAACACCCGCTTGGTCTGCGATGCCGTGTGAGCTCATGATGTAGCGAGAGGTATCATGAAAGCAAAGTGCTCAGCTTCTAAGTCGCGAAAGGAGCATGTGTGGCATGCGAGGAGTTGCAAAGGTGATAAGACGTGAGATGTGACTCTCCGCACTGGCCAAGGTCGGCATGGGTGGTCAATGCTGAAGCTTCCCATGTGAGGCCCCACTTTCAGTAGACGCGTACGGGAGGAGCGATCTCTAGCGGATGGCGTTGTTTGGGTGTGACAGGCAGACTACGTAGCGTACCGATGTGTAGGGAGTTCTCCGCGTTCCACCGGACAATTAGTTCATACCCCAAAATGTATCTTTGTTAAGCGCAGAGGAGAGGAATCACATGACAGCATTACACATGAATTAGTTTAAGCGTGTGAGCATCTCACGCTGGGGTATTCATTACTCGCTCAGAGAGCTTCGTGTGCTATTTACACTAACGAACGCATTACATAATCCTATGCTAAGTAGGACTGGACCTTCAAATGATCTGACTAGTTTGGATCCGGATTTACGCAGTCGGGACAGCGCCAGTAGCGTAGCCTTTCTCGATAATCGGAGGGGGCTTGGGCACATTTCGGCGGAGAACCGTCTTGTTGATGAAGTAAGGGACCGACTGGGTGATCTCGTAGTGGAGGTACTGCTTGGTGGGCACACTGAAGACCTGGTCCAGTTCTTCAAGCGTGAGCTGCTTGGTCTCTCGGACGAAACAGAAGATCATAAACCAGGCGATCAAGTTGAGGCCGGCGTAGAATCCGAAGGCGCCGGTCTGCGTCATGACTGACACCATACGAGGGAAGGTGAGCGACAAGACTCCAGCGAAGGTGTTGTTGATGCACACTGCCCAGGCCATGCCCTGCTCACGCTGAATGGTAGGGAAAACCTCAGCAGAATACTGGAATGCGACTGGCCCTTCTCCGAGCGAGTACATGATCGTGAAGAGGTAGATGAATAAGACGATCGGTCCGAGTTGAGCGGCTTGACTACCACTGTGGTTAAGGAGGGATAAACCGCCAGCCAGTAGAAAGATGCACATGAAGGGGAAGGTCTAGCACACAGTCAGCACAAGATTAGTCGCGCAAAGGTTGGGAAGTACTTGCCCACATGCAAAGGGTCCTTCGTCCCTTGGTGTCGATGAGGAACAGAGTAGGAATCGTGGAGACGACCTGAAGAGCTCCGTAGCCCAGAGAGGCGTACAAAGCCTGGTCATCGGTAAAGCCGACCTGGGTGAAAATGGTCGAGCTGTAGAATGAGATGATGTTGATACCACACATCTGTTGGGCAATCATGACAGTCGAAGCACCGTAATTGGCACGCCTAATTCGAGGCACGCGGAAGCAGTCCCACATGCGGTCGAAGTAGCCAGCTCCACGTGCAACGGCTAGCTCAGTCTCATAGATGACGTATGAGTAGTAGTAGTCGCGAGCAGCAATGATGGGGTGTGCGCGCAGTCTGGCCATTGATCGGTAGCCTTTGGCAATGTGGCCATGCTTCATCAACCAACGAGGAGACCTAAAAGTGTTTATCAGTATATGCTTGATATGATTGAGCGTGATGAATTTCACTTACTCTGGGCAAAAGAAGATGCCAATCATGAGGATAAAGGATGGGATGAAAGCAGAACCGAGTTGTAGACGCCATGAGATAGCTCCAGTGTCCTTGACGATGACATTGGCGCAGAAACCGAGGAAGATACCTGTGGATAGGGGTTAATAACATATCGTCGACAACGCGGATGGTACAACTTACCAATGACAACCCACAACTGCCAGAACATGACCAGGGCACCGCGAATTCGGTGAGGTGCAATCTCAGCAGAGTAAATCGGGACAGTGGCGTTCTTTGCACCGATTCCAATTCCCATGATGAAGCGCGCAGCAAAGAGCCCTTGCCATGATTGCGCACAAGCGGAACCGATGGGGGTGGCAGTCAGGCAGATAGCGGTGAGGAAGATTTCTCCACGACGACCGAGGTACTTGTTGAGGGGGTCGACGATAAAAGCGCCGATGAGACCAGCAGTCAAGAAGATGATGGAGTTGATAAGTCCGATGATCCATTCGCCCCTGTCCGATCCGAGAAGACCGAATTCTTCAGGGAAGGACAAGTTGGCTCCGTTGGATCCAGTCTGGTCCCAGCCCTGAGTGGCGGCTCCAATGGCACACAGACCAATCGAGTACCACATCATGGTGGGACCGAACCACTTGTGGTCGCGCTCGTAGATGAGAGCATCGCGCTCTTCCTGGGTAAGGTCGGTGAGCATTTCGAAGCGCTCAGGATCGCGCGCGATAAGGGCGGCCTTCCCGAAGAGGGCGGCGTGCTCATCCAAGCCATGGGTGGCAGCCCATCGCTCAGCAGCGCTGACACACTCGGCCTTTGACTGGCGGGTTAGAGGGTTCTCGATGATGTTGTGGGCGACAGATTCGCGGCGGGCGCCTGTATCAGCGATGTGCTCTGCGGTGGGCGTGTAGTGAGGCTCCTTCTCGTTGGCCGGGTCGTAGGCAGCTTCCTTCTCAGCAGAGTAGGCTACTTCCTTGTCAGGAATATGGCTGACGCCAGTGTCCTTTGCGTCCATGGTGAGGTGGATGTCTCGCAGGCTCCGACGTTAGTAAGACAAATTGCAAGGAGTTGCGGAGAGCAGTGGAGGTAGAGAGAAATGGCGGGGGAGATGAGCAGTCGATCTTATACCTGGGGGAGTTCGGAGTGAGAGGGAGGCCTAAAAGTGGAGCCTCAACGGCGCACGCCAGCTGTAAGAGGTTTCCGACAGGCACCTGGGTTTTTCCAGATTCTCTTTCACTGGCACCACCGTCGCGACGGTCGAGCACCCCGGGATCCTGGCTCGCGTCAGCCATTGAGAAACAGCCTTGGAGGAGGGGGTTTCACGCGCTAGCGCTATCGTTCATGAGGATCCCCACTCCATCTCTCCCCATGGAGTAAGCCTCCCCAAGCGTGCTGCGGCTATCTTAGCCACGCTTAAGGCCTGGGGCTTGGCCTTCACCCCAAAGCTTCGCGCAGGCCGACGTCTATGACCTCACCCTCCGCATTCTCGACCCCATGTGATTCCGCTAGCTCAAGCCACCGCGTTACATTGCTCGGCTGTCTTCCGAGCAACCGTCACGCCAGCCCGCTCTTATTCTGGAGGTTGGTGAAGGGGCGCTGTCAGCTCACCCTTACATGTTTACCGGTGTATCTTGCGTCGCACGGCGCACGAGGCGCAATCGCCGTCACAGTAGCGCGGCAGGTATCCCGTACTCGTGGTGTCCCCGTGATCAGTGCAAGGCTTCACGTTGCATGTGCTTGGTGCGATCGAGGTCTGCGGCTTGTTAAGCTGACGCTGCCCAGCTCCGATCGGCGCCCATGTTGCCCTTCCCGCCAGCCGCCTGCATACCGGCACATGTTGGCGCGACCACCGCGGCAGGGAGCAAGGCGCCATTGTACTGCCGCCAAAGGTCCTTCCCGTTGTTTCCTTCTCATAAGTGTCAGCCCATCCCAATCTCCGCCAGGATCACGACTGCAATTTATCTGGAGACGTGTTCGACAAGTCCAGAAAATGTAGGAAGTCCATCGCATTGTCGCCTCAACCAATAGACGACGTCGGTGGCAAGCCTCGACGAGACCAGCGAACTCGATAGCGTACGCGCGGCGATGTCTTGGGCACCTTGAGTCTCCTTGTCCCAACAATCCAAGCCCTCGCCAAAGCTTGGGACGACATCGAGCCCGGCCCAACTGTCAGAATTGTGGGCTTACGTCTCATTCGTAGCGACGCGTTCTTGTGGAGACTACTCCAAAATTTTCTCCAGGTCTCTCCAGGATTCAGCGGGTCAACACACAGACCACAGAAACATTGCTCACGTGCCCGTGTCGCAACTTCGACATGCATGCGCAAGACAAAGAAGATGGAATGCGCGGCCGACGAGCATGCCGGTGCGTTTACCGCAAACAGAGGGGCCAGGTATCGTCCCGCGAGCAGAAGCAACTCGCGGCTACCGGCTGTGGCACAGGGTCGCAAATGGTAAACTCATTTTCCCGGCCTTTTCTTAGCGCATAGAATCACACATATTCACAGATCGCTAGTCTTTCCAGCGTCTGTTAACCATCCTCGCATTACATAGGCGCGATATGCACTTCGTGTCTCGAACCCATGAGGCTCTCGTGGAAGTGGGCCTCGGTCTATTGCAACGCTAGACATCGTCCGATACCCCACACCATGGAGCCGTCATACTCCACAGCCTCCGGATTGCCCACTTTGGACAACTAAGCAGCATTTTTTCACTAATCACACTCGAGCCTCATCGAAAGTTACTCCGATGCCCTACTAGTTCCCGCTAGCCGCAACGCTGCGTTATCGATTTCGGACATGACCGACAATGCTCTAAATGCAATCCCTCAAACTATCGCCTTCTCACAGCTCTATGTGCACGCTCCAGACCTCGGCCATGCGGTGCGAGATCGAGAACGAACGCTTCAATAAGCAGTGCGCAGACTGGTACTACCCTTAAGCCCGTCCTTAGCCCGTCCTGGTGGTAGTAGGAAACGGCTGATATAGGAATATGCGCAAACGAAGGGCATAACACATATGACTCTAGTTGATTACAAGGCCGCTGGATAGACAAACAGCAACAGTCCGGATTATGGTGTGCATTATAGCTCCTGGTCGTTATATGGCGTTGCCAACAAAGCTCTTGTATGCGTCAGACTCCGCGAAATCTCGAACACTCAAGCAGGGTATCGTCTCCCAAGTATGGGATTTCTGGCAGCATCTTACTCGGAGCCTTACACACTGTTCTCATGGTAAAGTATACATAACATCGGCTATTGCGACACAAGATAGTACTGGAGGCTGCTTCACCTCGAGTGTTACCACAAACATCGCCAGTGAATACTCACAGCACTATGTGCGACAATGCACGGACCTTAAGAGCTCTCACTATGAGCGCCTTCCAGTGTAGGGCTTTTGTTTCGAGAGCAACCGGGCCTTGTATGCAGTAGGTCGAGAATGGCGAACCCTCAACTAGGCAAGAGTAATCTTCAGCCTTCCTTGGCTAACACGATCATCCAGGCACACTCATCTGCAGGTGCCATGGGTTCTGATGGTGTACAGACAAAGTATCTAGAAGACTACATCCGTCGCGCATACGAAGATATACAAGGATTTCCTGATTCCTCATCGCGCATCTTCACCAAATCTCCAGGACCAGAACTCCAACGCGACCGCAAGAACCATATCATACTATACCCCGGGTCTTTTAATCCACCACATGTAGGTCACGCCGCGCTCCTCTGGCACGCCTATCTCAACACAGATGCGAGCGCTATAGCGGTCATGATCTTCGCTCAGAGGGACGACTTGTTAGTTTCAAAGGACCACGTTACAGACGGCAAGGGTAAAGCATTTATACTCTCACACTACCAGCGTCGCCAACTTTGGAAAGACGACGGCCTAGGAAGATTCGCGTGGGTATTCCCAGCGCCCGATAACGACAAGTTGGACCTATTTGTAGCCACTATCAAGCGGTTAACGAAGGCGGATGGCTTCAAGATATCCTTCCCAACACTGTACGGAGGCGATCACATCAGTCAGAAGGCTAGGGTCGAGGAACTGTGTGATTGGGATGATGGAATATGCATCGGTAGCGATGTCACACGGCCCATGGACTTTGTGCCTGACGACGGTGGTGATCTTTTACAACTGCAAGGCTGTGAAAAGTGGAAAAAGATTGAATGGACAGGGAAAGAGAGTGTGACCCCAAACTGCTGGCCTTGCTGGCCGTGTGCCAAGATACGCAAGATCTTCCCTGAGAGTGTCAAGATGGATGGAACATTCTCGTTCGGTAAGCCTTCTTTCTGGTACCGTTCGATCGTCCTTGATTGCTAACGTATATGGAAACAGATGCAAATGCTTCAAAGCACCCGCTCGCAACTATCCTAGCCCGCTGTCACTTCCCTAATAACACAACCCAGTGGACACGCTTGACCCGCAAACGTGGGCACATCATCTTCATCCCTAGCAATCGGAACGCCAATCCTCTTTCTCCCTCAGCGTGTTCCACAATCAGTGCCACGGCGATTCGAGAGTCTCTTCTGAAACTTGAAGGAGTGACGCAGCAGGTCCGCGACGAGATCAACTACGCGGTACCAAACGGCGACTTGCTCTGTATATATTTGGGCTTGGACCGTCTTTGGGTGGAGAACGGAACATATGAGCAGTTGATAGGCGGCGAGCGTTGTGAAGACAATTTGTGGTTGGAAAGACTGAGGAAGAAGCAAGCGTACGAGGATGGATACAAGCGAAGGCGTAGGTCATCATCTCTTTGAATGTCATGCCGCGAATACCTGGAATTGATCGTGTACGCGCGCACCACCGAGTACTCTAGAATAGCCTTGAACTTTTCTAGCATCTTGCATGCACAACTCCCACAGTCCGATGTCCATGACCTCACCATGATGCGCGGGCCCGATGGCCCTTGTAGAGCTTAACCTAGACGTCTTCCGCACCCTTAGTCGACTGACCTTTCTTCCGCTCTTCCTCTAACCGTGGCACTATCATCTTCATCGCCACATTATTGTTCAACCTCCTCCGAATGCCCTCATCGAACACTTGGAATATCCGTTGCGTGCGCGCGCCAAACTCGTCAAAGGTGATTTCTTCGGTCCAGAGCTGCTCCATGACGTGCACATATTCGTTCCAGTTGTCTGGGCCTAGAAGCAATGTTATCAGCGATTGTTCCCTAGAGCTTCGAGCAATGAGCAGTTACCAAGGGCTTTTTGTGTGGCTACCAACTCCAAAGGTACGACGTAGTCATACCTCGGGCATGGTCTCACAGGTTTCGGTGGAATCGCGGACGATACCTGCGGAGGCGCAAACAAACCGATGGGAGGCTGCGCGCTGGCTTTTTGACCGATGTGAGTATCTCCCTGGCTGTTCAGCCCACCAGCTTTGTTGTTATCCTGAACTCCATCGTCTAGTCGCGGCCTTCCTCGCTTAGGGGTACCCAACGGCGGCGTATTGAAGGACTTTTGCTGGCGTACTCGATTGCCTTGTGAGGGGCCGGAAGTTGCCTTTGACTGACTCGTGGATCTCTGTTGATTCGTTGGCGGTATGTTTCTCGCTATGAATGGTGAGATATCATCTGAAGAGCGAGCTGCCAGCGGCGCCTTCCTCGGAACGTTGTTCGATGGAATACGACTACCGTTCCAGCCTGTTGGAAGTGGTGCGGGCGAGACGTGAGCGTTGTCTCCCTTAGTCAGAGAGTCATGACGCTGGTCAGCGGAGCTTGCATGACCACTGCCTTGCATTGGTGTCGCCGGCTGTTTTAGATCGATGCTTCTTGCGCCAGTGTTTGGGTCGACGTTATGTTCATTGCGCGACATGCTGAACGGAAGTGGGTGTTGCCGGCGTCGCACTGTTAGATCAGGATATGGATTTTCGAATGGATAATTGAGATGCGGAAAAGAAGGCCAGTGAGGTGGTGCCACGGGAGGCAGGAAGGCCTGGCCGCCCGTTGCATTTCGTTCGGACCTGACTGGAAGATTGGACGGCAACATATTTGGGGTAGGTCCGACGAATGGTCGGTGTTGCGAAGGAATCACTGGGCCTGATAGAGGTCGCTGTCGCGTGTTCTTGATTTGCTCTTGCGCCATGACTGGGTGTGATGGGTAGGAGTGATGGGGCTCGACCGAGATCTTCGTCGAATGGAAAGAGCGACGTTGGCAATACTGCGCAGCAACGTTGCGACCGCACTGATTGACGAAAGAACTTTCGCGCCTTGCTTCCAAATATTCAGAAGTATAGGCGAAAGAGAGAGAGAGATTAGCGTAGGGAAATTGGAGGTGAGGGGCGCTTGCTGTGTTGGGGAGCATAGCTCAACCTTGAGGAAGGTGCCTTCCATATCAATTGTGAGTGTTACGTCACCATAGATAGTCTGGAACTCATTTTGAGCTAGCTTTTGATGTAATGTTCCAAAACGTATCGGCCGCAACGCTCTCTCAATTAAGTGAAGGCCCAGGATCAATCGGTGTGCGAGGAGACCGATGCAGCACCTGGGCAGCCATCACTCCCACGCGAGGCAACCCAAGACATTTTGGATGCAGATATCGATTTCCTGCTCACTCGAGATACAAACCTTGACTACAGCGTATTGATGTGTCACCCATACTACAGAAACTAGGTGTACAAGGCTTTTACCTGCTGGACATTTTTACCTGATTGCAAACGACCGATACCAAACATCTTTGGCGGTGATATCATGAAAATCATTATCTAATCCACCCATTTTCATCAATGCGTTCTATATACATGGTCTAGTATGATTCAGGTCTGCAGGATGTATCTATCTACTCAAAGCTCATCATGTGGGTGTGGCCGCAAACACACCACGAACAATGAAGTATAAAGCCTTTGTTCGACACATACTCGACTTAAGACAAGACAAGGAGGAGGAACTTAAATACTGCCTGAAGCTTACTTGCGTTCTGGTGACGATGGCAAGTGCCACCTTCAGTACTGAGCAATTTAAGTTTGGACCACACACATGGCAGATCGACCGACTTTACCTGACGGCTCGTCGCAGAAACACAATGAGTTGTTCAATAAACTACCCAACGACAATGTGCGGCGTGGGTATCTGTTGTACTACGGAGAATACAAGGGCGGGATCAAAGAGGCTGGTGTGCTTTCACGAGTATGGAATAAGATAACATCCGCGGCGCAACAGGAATACATCAACCGTGCCACATCCGGGGCGGTCAGTCATGCGTCAGATGGCGAGATTGAGAGCGGAGAAGAGTCGTCTAGGAAAAATCCCCAAGAAGCGATCAATGGAGGCCGTATGCAGGCAGAATCGGGAGCCCGAGAAAACAATGATCGCGGCATAGAAGAACCGTTGCATGGAATAGCGACACCTGCTGAGGCTGTCAACCCGGAACCATCGAATGAGACAGAAACGTCTGCTTACGAGCCTAGTGATACCGAGATCGCAATAGCAAGGGTCGGTCTTACCGAAGCAGATACTAGTAGAGCAGCACCTCCCCAGACCAGGAAAAGAGGCCGCGACGAAGAACATGACAACGGAACGCAAGTATGGCAATGGTGCAAGACGCTGATGGACTCTCGTACTAGATTCAGTGGGTCCAGAGAGATGCGCACAGTGGTATGCTTGTACGTGCTCTGCGATGAAACCGGTAGGATATTGAAAGTTAGTGTCTTCATCAATTCCTACGTCGCTAAACAGCACTAACATCAGCTAGAGGAAGGTATGCAAGAGGATACGTTGTGGCTCGCAGAAAATGGTGAATTTTGTCGAAGATGAGTACAATATCAGTCGACAACTGGAGCTTTGTGATCATTGCCATCACATCGAGGCAGCCTCTCAACAAGAAGGTACGCTGAACTATCGCTTGTACTCTGATTACGCCGAGCACGGAGATCTGAGCAAACTTCTCAAAGTTTATTACCAGGAAGAGAATTTGGTCAAGCAAATACCCGAGCAGTTTATATGGATGGTGTTTCATGCGCTGGCCGACGCCATATGTGCCCTGAACACGGGGTTGTGCGGAGAGACGGTGGACGAAGACAAGACGGCAGAAGGAGCAGATAATGGCCCAGAATTCGGAAGGGAGGGACAAAAGACAAAGAAAGGAAAGCGAGGTGGAAACAAGCCAAGAAAGAAGTTCGCGAGCAGCATGGTGCACTTGGATGTCAAACCAGCGAACATCTTTCTCAGTACCGCTAAAGAACCCTACCTAGCGTACCCAAAAACTCTCCTTGCTGACTACGATGTCGTCAAGACGATTTCACCAAGCACAGATGCTTTGGAGGGTAGGAAAGATTGGGGTACAAAAGGATTCCAGGCTCCAGAAATCATAGTAGAGACAGCACATGATCATGCTGTCAATGCCAAAGCAGATATTTGGTCGCTTGGGATGGTCATCTGGAAACTGATGCATACTACGCTTGGAAAAGAGACGTCGGACCAGATATGCGAGGACTGCATCAAAGCTTCGTTCCAATTTGCAGAAGGCAATACGTTCACATCGACAGACATTCCAGGTTACGATGCAATGTATTCCAATGCCTTGCACCAACTAGTAACCGAATGTCTGCAGATCAATCCGGAGAAGCGACCAGGTTACGGAATGTTGAGAAAGAAGGCAAAAGCGGAGTTCGAGAGATCGCAGAGGCGGTTAGGCCCGGTCTTGTCGTGTGATAAGATGGGTAGTGATATTGCCGGTCACCTCCGGGTTCTCAGGAAAGAAGAGTTGGAGTATAAACTAGGGGATATGTTTGTGGAGCCTTTGAGCAAGAGGAGAAAGACTCACGCGCCTGCGGAATAAGATAGCGATATAAGCGCGTTGGTGCGCACCGGACTGACATAGACAGCATAGGGCGTGTAGCGATCGCCTAATATATGAGTTAGGTAATCGGTTTCTGATCGAGTCTTGATAACTTGGTGTAAACCGACGATGGGTGCGTTCTGTCCGATGTGTTCTTATTCTTTCCCCTCCTTCTCCTGCTCGTACTGTGCTGCTTCACTTTATTTACCAGCATGCATGATCAGTTGTCGATGCCTGCAACAGTACAGTCATCGCGGTAAGGGGCGCGGCACGAGCCAAGCTTGACCAACACACTAGTGTTGGCTTCATCGCCGTCTTCTTACTGGCGAGGCCACAGGACAAAGCGCCTAACGGCCAACACCCTACCGCTGTTGCAAGTGCCGTGCACTGACCGAAATATGTATAGTCAGCCGACAGAAGCAAAACTGAAGCGTTTGCCAAGATACTCGGTGTTTGAGACTTCCAGACTTCAATCTGCGGGCAATATCATTGCCGCAAAAGCGTCGGATCGGCTCCGTGGTTGCAACGCTCATCGTCAATCGATTTTTGATCACTTCCATCGAGCTGAGTAACATGGCGACTATAAGCATGTTATTGTGCCTAGTCGTCTGCAGCCTGCTGGTTTATAAGGTCTGGAAGCGCCAAATGCAGCGCGAGGTAGGCGTGGTTGACAAAATGAAAGATAATACTGCTGATGATCACCAGGAAGAGGACCGATATGCCGCGCAGATGGGGTGCAAAGCACCGCGGAGGTGGGCAGCAAAATGGCCACAAGGCTTGGACCTGCTGCTAAAGGCGGGGCGACATGCAAGAGCGCAGACTATTTTACAGTTTTTCTTAGACGTAGTAGACTCTAGCGGTCCGACGCATGAGCAGCAGTTACGTGAGTCCTCAAAGACAAAAAAACTAAAAAAAACTGCGGCGTTGACACTGCATAGTTGGAGCTCGCGGTATCAATACGGTTGAACCACGCAACATCGAAGAAATCCTCTCTACCCAGTTTGAAGGTTTGTCAAAGTTGAATGGTTAAGATGACCGCTGGTATTGACGTTTATGGCAGACTTCAGTCTTGGGCTCCGACCCAAGCATTTTGATCCATTGCTGGGATGCGGGGTTTTTACTCAAGACGGTGCAGCATGGAGACACTCGCGGGCGTTACTCCGTCCCCATTTCACTTCCAATCGCTACCAGAACTTCGAGGAGATGAAAAAGTCGGTCGAAAGCCTCATCGATCAAATTCGCCCCGACAGCGTTGTTGATCTCCAACCGTTATTCTTTCGTTTGACTTTCGACACGACGACGTTCCTGCTTTTCGGCAAAACATTGAGCTCTTTGCAAAGCAGCGACATTGCTGGACAAGAGTCTGAGTTTGCAGCAGCCTTTAATCTGGGCCAGGATTCCTTGTCGCATCGTGGCAGGCTGGGAGACTTGTACTGGCTTGCGAGTACTCCCGAGTTCTGGCAAGCTTGCAAGACTTCTCACCGCTTCGTTGACGACGCGATTCAGAGAGCACTGGACAATGCGGAGACTACGGAACCCGATAAAGTAGAAGTCGAGGACAGGAAGCATTATGTGTTTATCGACGCGCTCATCCAAGAGACTCGGAACAAGAAGGAACTTCGCGACCAGTGTCTCAATGTTTTACTGGCGGGCAGAGACACAACAGCATGCTGCCTCACCTGGACCTTGCGCTTGCTGGTCCGTCACCCTAAAGTCTTGGAAAGGTTACGTTCGGAAATAGAGGCAGTAGTAGGCCTCGGACAGCATGCGCCTCAGCCAAGTCGGGTGGATCTGAAGAAGATGAGGTATCTTGATCTCATTCTGAAGGAGGTACTTCGCCTCTACCCATCCGTGCCGGTCAACTCTCGTGCAGCATTGAAGACGACGACACTTCCTGTTGGAGGAGGCCCAGATGGAAAGTCGCCGATATTGGTCAGGAAAGGCGAGGCTGTCGGTTACTGCGTATACGCTATGCATCGACGTACAGACATCTACGGCGAAGATGCACTCGAGTTCCGCCCTGAGAGGTGGGAGGATGGATCACTGTTGCGAGATGTGGGTTACGGGTATCTTCCCTTCAATGGCGGGCCACGAGTTTGCCTGGGTCAAGAGTTTGCCCTGCTGGAGGTGGGATATACCGTAGCGAGGTTGGTACAAATGTTCCCTCCCATGACTGTTCCGAAGGATGACCCTGTTGTCCCTACTGGCCGGGAAAAGCAGACCTTGACGTTGGTAGTTGCTTCGGGAGATGGATGCCGTGTACACATGCGCTCGTAGATCGAGACAAGTTCTCTCTTTAGGGCACGCTTGTACACTCTGAGCCGTGTTACTACGAGAAAGGAAGACCCTGTCAAATGTAGGTGTGTTCGTTCAAGCTCCAACCTATGATGGGTATCCGCCGGAACGTGTTGCTAAGGCTTTCCCCGGGCTTCTTGCCAGGCAATATGTTCTCTGTGCAATCCGATGGCTACAAGTCCGACTAAGGCCTTGTTGGATATTTTGTGTCCCCATATTCCCCTAGCTTCCTAGCTGCTAAGTCCATATGAATCCGCATCGCCCAAAAGAAAGGGCGTGGCATTACCCATGCGGCGCGTGTATTCGGCGAAATAGCAGCGTGCTGCAAGACTGTACTCGTAGTGTGGAAGGTATGACGGCGGAGTTGTGGAGGGTTGGGCGCGTGGTAAGCTTGGTGTGTCGTGGACGACGGTCGGAATTATACGCGTCGGTCGAGGAGCACGATGCTGATCTGTTACAACAGATTTATGGCGGAAAAGTTTCGGAAGTCGACGACTGTAAAGCTTGAATCGAGACCTCGACATTGCGTCTGCTATGCGTCGTCGGGATTACTCTGTAGCTTTACTACCCTTCATTCTGGTGCGCGTTCGTACCGTCCAGATCGTTTGATCTCGAATGAACAATCATCTATGTATCATAGTGAACCTCGGGACAAACCCGGAGTAAGACATCGTTCGGAATGGCGATAGCCTCTGATTTTCGTGCTTAGCCAGGGCTTGTCAGGTCGCATGTTGGAGTACATGATACGCTAAGCGGTTGCCGAGAGGATGAGGTAGGAGGGATGCATAGTAGTGGCGACTTCGTGTGGCGTGTCCCACGTGGGAGATGAGGAGTGCATATGTCGAATCCGCTATCAAGCATGGCGACGCATAGTTGCGACTGATTGTACACGAGGCGCGCGATTGAAAGAGCTAAACCTCGATTGTGGGGTCGCAGTCGATGCCGGGTCCATCGAGCTAAGAGCGCGTTCCGCGCTTCGGACGCGTGTTTTAGCGCCAAGCCTGGCACACCTCCGTTCTGTCGCTCCCGGTCACCCTTCATCCTTCGTCCCCTTGCTACCAGCTGCCCGAACAAGTTGCGACCGTATACTGTGTACAGCTCGCTGTCACATCCGTTTCCGAATCAACAAAATTCCTTCCGCGATAGCACCCTCGATCGTTCCTGGCCTCGGCACACTCCCCGCCTTCACGGTGCATTGATTGCTGCATGCGTCGCTTACTGCATCCATGGATGTCAGTCTCCACTCTAGATGGCGTGGCAGACCATGAGCAACATACCCACCTGATTGCGGCGCCTGTCACAAATATATCGCCTTGCTTAGCCCGCCTTGTGAGGGGGAAAGAAGGTTTTACTCCGGATGTGCTTCATGCATCGTTAGCACAAAGCTCATGATATCCCGCTTCTAGATCACGTTACCCTATCGTCGTGCGTTCGTGGAGGCGTTCAGAAACCACTGTCACAGTCATACAGCAACCTGGTTGTCACTTATGGGATCCGCACAAGTTTTCAGCCGTAGGCGATTCGATTCCTACTATCGATACTACATGGCCAAATGTAGTTGCTTCCATAACAGCTCCGTCGGGAATGCCACAACGGTCTTCATTAGTGACTTTATGAAAGGCCCGTCGCACCGAAACTACCACACAACGTGCAGGACACGCATGGCAGGATTTACGCTTGTAGGGGCACATATTTCGTCGCGCCAATAAACGATACGTGGCAGCGTGCCGCCCCACGCCGCCTATCTCACGGGTAAGATGCGAACTGTATTAGTTCCACTTGAGTTAGCAACTGTGGGGAACCTAGACTCAGCATGGTAGGCATCCAGGGCCTTGACGGGGCAGATGTACCAGAACGGTAAGTCACCTCTGCAACGTAAACGCCCCGTCCCGCATGGAATGGTTCGGCGGGGATGCTGGTTTTCAGGTCCCTTGAAGAAGTGCTGTACCCGTCTTGTTCCCACTTGTCAATTCGACTTGAAATTCATTCTAGCCCCAATGGCTTCCAATAACAGCAATCTTTACTCAACGACCAAGTATCTGGCTCAAGAACGGACTCAGAACACCAAAGTTCCAGGTGGCAGTCGCTCAACCACGCTATCCGGAGTCAAAGATGCCGATTTCGTTGCAATCGGCCTTGGAGGCGCAAACATGTTGGCGATGCTGTGGGCTATAGCTATGGGCCGCCGTGCCGTCGGTGTTGAACTTCGTGGCGACCCGTTTCTAGGAGTGCACTGGAACATTCGTGAAGACATGTATCATCAGCTGGGCCTTATCGACAAGATGATGGTGGATCGTTACGGACTGGACAACCTCCCGAAAAGACTGGATGGAACACTGCTTAGTCTGGCAGATTTGTTCTATCATCCCATGACCAAATCTAGGGACATCATACCCGGAGCTATCATCGAGGGATACGAGAAGGAACTCCATATGGTCGGCGAAATCCACAACATTGAATACATCGACGACCGCTGGAAGAATGGCAAGCCACATCGCACTGTCACCACTGTGCCTCCGCCTACTATCCCGGAGCACCCGTGCCCGACCAAAATCCGTACCGATATGCGAGAAGTCCTCGACGGGCCTTCGACATGGCAAGCTGCGGCGTTTTCCGTCCAGCTTCTTCTCCGCCGCTATCTCGAGGCGCTCGAGAAGATTGATCTCAACGCTAGCAAGACGCCCAGATGCCGCCTCTTCACCAAA